ATGGGTCAGAATCAACTAACAACGGTAACATTATAATTTTCATATTAGGAGATATTGTCAATGATTCAGAATCTCAAAATCAACTCCTATGGTTTATGCTGGACTACAGCAGTCATAACAAGAAGACAATGCAATGAATGAAAATGCCACATGCTAAAAACCACAGAGAACCTTCTTAACAAGAACACTGACAAAAAGACATCCACATGCAGGCTATTGTAATGGTCCACAACAAAATAAAAGGGAGCCTTGGAAACCCTGTACAGGGTCGCTATAGGTCAGAACCGACTCGATGGCACTTAACAACAACAACAAACTTCATGGAAAAGCAGAATGAAAAGATAATGAAATTCTTCTATAGATTTTTTAAAGGCCCCTCATAAAATAACTTGAAACATAAAATGACAAGAACTGTACAAAAGCAAATGAATGAACAAACAATGATACATCATCACTAAGTGAATTTCTGTTGTGTTCTGCTGCATAAAAATGAAGTTTCTTATTAGGTAGATGCTGGATTAACTCTGGTACATACCCAGACTTCAAGTCAGTTATCCTCAAACAGTTTGTAGCATCCAATCCCACTTTTCCATTCCGAACCACATTAGATATGAACTGGGAGAGCATTGGAGAAATTCGGTTCAAGGCCACTTCTGGGGACATTTTAACTTGACTTGCAAATTGCCACTGAAAGTAGAAACCAATAATGGTGATTAGAGTATTGTACTACTGTAGATTTAACAAGCTTCCTAAATCGCTGCAGAATGAATAGTTCATTTGTCTTACATGAGTAAATAGCTCATTTCTTATTTCTATTGCAGTCTCTTCCAGTAAGCCTCCAGAAGACTCTATCTTCCTGCTGCTCAAACACTCAGGACATAGACTACACTAGCGCTCTTCAGGAACAGAGGGAAACCCTGAAACACAATGCCCCACTCCTTTCAATTCTGGTTTCTACACTGCGAGGCTCTCCTCAAAGCTAGACTTTCTCTACCTTACAACTGTCAGGGTCTACTTCAGTGAGGGAGTCCTGGCGTGGTGCTATAGGTACAGAACTGGACTGCTAAACACAAGGTTGACAGTTCAAAGCCACCAGTCACTCCTTAGAAACTCTATATGGGGTTGCTGTGAGTCGGAACCAACTCACCAGCACTTAACAATAACCTCCTAACACAAAAACACTGTCAGGAATCCCTCCCTCTGTGTCCCTAAAGAGTAACAACTTGGTTGCTAACAATATATAAAATTTAAGAACCAGCATAACCTGTTTGCAATTGTTACTTACTAGATACAAATTGTCTTCTGATATTCTTCTCTTAATAACTGCCTACTTTCTATGGTTTCTCCCCTACAGAGGATGCCTCTAGATTCCCTAATGTTTAACAAAAGTAGCTGGCATACCTAAGCATTCAATAAACATAAACAAATAGACCCAAGTTTGAGAAAATTTAAATCTGTAAAGAAGATTAAAAGCCCTCAAAAATGTTTGGTAAGGTACAGTATACACAAAAAATAAATGTAGCAAAATTGTACTTAATAATTAAATCATGAAAACATACAACTATCAGGATATTATAAAGCAACACAGGCAAAAAATGTGGATCTTAACTTTAATTAGTCTTTGACCTAGGACACTAATAAATTCTTACACTTGATGAGACAAAAGTAAAACCCTTAAATCTTATCTAAATTACTTAGAAACCCATGGGGCTTAGGAGGAAGTACATGAATTGCTCTTAATAGGTCTCTAAATGAACACCTCTACTTTCAGAGGTGAAAAAGTCAATTTAAATGATCTTTTTCCTCAATCTGAAGATAATCCCACATCAAAAGCAAATTAATATCCAGCAAATTGCAATTACAAGTAAAGGATGCTCTGGTTCTAATTATCATATAAAGGGAGCTTCAAAAAGTTCATGGAAAAATGGTGTTCAAAGAAAATGGAACTTTTCTATGAACTTTTTGAAAGCCCCCTTAGATTATACCACATGAGTATTTACAGATCCTCGCTAAAAATAAAATTTGAAAGAAACTACCTTTAAGTAGCTCTGATAGTATAGTGGTTACGAATCAGGCTGCTAACCTCAGGGTCAGCAGTTTGGAATTATCAGCTGTTCCGCAGAAGATGAGGCTGTCTGCTCCCATAAAGATTTACTGCCTCAGAAACCCTGTACAGGGTCACTATGAGTCGGAACTGACTCCACGGCACATAACCACAACCACCTATAATTTTATCATTTAAGATAGTAATAAAGGGGAAGACCACAGTGATCTTTCAAAGAATAAGTATGAAATGTTGATTTTATCTATTAATGACAGAAATATTTTCAGGGTGACAAAATTTTAAGTTACAAGTCCCTCTACACCACTGACTGCTTAGCCCATGACCTCTTCCTCTACCATCCCAATATGTCATCACAAAATAAAATTAAAACCTAATGCACTGTTAATGTTATTGTTATTGTTGCTGAGTACTGTTGAGTAGATTATAACTCTTAGCAATCCTGGATAGGGTTTCCGAGGAACAGTTGGTGGGTTTGAACTATCAGCCTTGCGGTTAGCAGCCCAGTGCTTTTCCTACAACACCACACAAAATGTACATTTTTATAACATGCTATCACTGCTTTTAAATTTCCATGTAATTATAACTGATAAAATTTCACACTCCTGGGTTTAAGATAGAATTGTAATTTCTGTTTTGTACATAATATGGATTGTTGTTGTGTGTGCTGTCATAACAATCATATAGGACAGGTTGGTATTGTCCTATATGGTTTCCAAGGCGGTAATCTTTAAGGAAGCAGATTATCACATCTTTCTCCCGTGGAGCAGCTGGGGGTTTCCAACCACTGACTTTTCTGTTAACAGCCAAGTGTTTAACCAGTGTGCCACTTGGGCTCCTTGGATAATATGGATAACTTTATCATTTGTCTTTAAATAGTATTAATTATTTGAGGCCAAATTTTTTCTATTTTGCAACATGTCACAATTCATGAAGGGATGCCTATCTAGATCATGTGCAAAACACAGAAAAGGCAAAAAAAAAATCTCACCCACATTACAAAATAATCTTTCCACAATATCTATTATTATTTTACCTATCATTTCTACCAAAAAAAGAAAGAAAGAAAGAAAGAAAGAAAGAAAGAAAGAAAGAAAGAAAGAAAGAAAGAAAGAAAAACTACCAGCATGGTTTGAACATCTACTAACCTCATACCCATAATTTCATTTAAGTTCCCCTAACAGCCCTGTTCCCAAGGAGCTCTGGTAGTGTAGTCATTACGAATTGGGCTGCTAACCTCACAGTCAGCGGTTCGAAACTACCAGCTGTTCCGCTGGAGAAAGATGAGGCTTTCTGCTCCTGTAAAGATTTACAGCCTTGGAAACCCTATACAGGGTCACTATGAGCCAGAACTGATTCCACAGCACATAACAACAACAAACAACAACAGCCCTGTTTCCAAGTTAATAATAGTGTTCCCATTTTACAGGTTTAAAAAAGTTTTTTTTAACTAAAGCTCAGCAAGATTAAGTTACTTGCTCAAGGTCACACATAAAGCAAGCAGTGGGTCAAGAATTCAAATTCAGATCTCTCTCAAAGTCCATTACAACCATCTTACTCTCAAAGGTATCATTTATTACCAAAAAGAAAGGCATCAAGATAAATTTATTTTGTTGTAGCTGTTTTGTTTTGAATTGTACATCTTGGAAAAAGTGAATTCAAACTGAAGTCAAAAATTCAAACGGACTGATGGCAGTCTCATAGTCAAAAACAAACTAGACTATGGCTGAAGTTGGCTTGAGTAATTCACTTTAATGCTAACAGGATCAAAACTATTCCAGAAGCCAAACTACTATATATGAAAGGCGACTATACGGCATTCCAATTCAGCAACTGTCATGATCTTAGAATGACACCTGAGGAGATGAACTGTCTGTTTGCATAACAGACATAATACTAACTTTTGACAGGGCGCAGCGTTAAAATCTGCATTAACCCTGAATTGGTGTGACTCCTCTTAGAGGAAAAAATATTCAGACCCAAAATCAGAGGTCATTTATGATAGTTCTTTGGTGTTGTGAACGGGGGCTAAGGAATAGGAATCACCACCTCCCAGTATTAATTGTTACAGATTGTAGCACTACAATAAATTCCAGATAGGCAAAAGGCAAAACTTTACCCTGGTCTCACTCCCTCGAATGTTAATTGTACAGTTTGTATTTCCTGGTTTTGACATATTACACAAGGAAAATTCATAAATATAATTTTTTGAAGTCTGCTGTCCTAAAATAGTCACATAAGGTACTGTTGAGGTCTAGGAAATACAAAGACGTCTAAAGCACAGTCCAAGTTCTTGTAATTAGGATAGGATGACAAACACGGAAACATGTGTCCCACGGACGTCATGGAACGGAAAGAAACAGTGTCCTGCTGCGTCATGTCAACGTCATACAGCTCACGAGGGAAGTTACATTTGGGAAACAATTTCTCCAAGGGACAACATTCGAGAAAGATAAGTCGGACCCAATAATGACCACTCCACTCTAAAGCGTATATCAGGGGACACTCCCCCTTCACCCAAAGTGTGATTCCCACATGAGGTGGGATGTTGGAAGGAGCATGGGCATAATCAGAAACCAAGGGAGGGCAGATATGGAGAAAGGACTCTGGCCTTGGGTGCTCATTCTTGAGGGGTCCAGCGTGATGGGGATGAGCAGAGCATCTTTGGAACTGGAGGCCTTCTCAATAGGAAAAGGAGGCGAGTTTCCTGACTATATTTAAACCACGGTCCTCAGCACCACCTGTGCGACTCAGGATCCAACCTCCCCGCACCAGCCCCTGTCCAGGTACCTGGAACTTAGTCCGATCGGTAACCGGCGACTACGTGGGGTACAGGTTACCCGAGCGCGCCCCCGACCAACACACGGACCTGCGCGCGCACCGCGGGTCGGCTGCGTGCGCACTCCCCTGACGTCCCGCCCCGCCCCCTCTGCGGCCTAGGAGCTGGACGACGTGCGCGCCTCCGCGCCACAACAAATCGGGCGCTGGGGAAGGCGTCCCCGCAGTGCCTGAAAGTTCATTTCTCAGCGACCTCCTCGTGGATGACGACGAACTCGGCTCCGGAAATACAAACGGGGCGCTGTAACGTGAGGCGGTGGAAGGAGACAATTCCTGGAAGAATAGGGGCAGTTCGTGGGCAGAGTTATTTCGGGCATTCAGGTGGGCGCCCCGTGTTGGCGTCTAAAGGCCCGCGTCATTAGCGGGAGTAGGAGCAGCGTCTGTGGTTACGGGGTCGGGCAAAGGGCGAAGGTCAGCGTCCAGGTTGGCTAGCACCGCCTGTTAGCCATGGCCGCGTCTGGGGAACCCGGGAGGCAGTGTCAGGAAGAAGTGATGGCGGTGGTAGTGGTGGGCTCCTGCATGACCGACCTGGTCAGGTTAGTCCGGGCCAATACGAAGAATCTGCGGCTCGGGGAAGCGGGCGGACTGGGCGCTTTTTGCCGCGTTGCCACTGAGTCTTTAGGGAATGTAGAGTGTTCATTTCGGTTGTGAAGACACTGAATTTTCGTTGTTAGATAAGAGAACAGAACGTAGGGGCCAGGACTTAATACTTTACACATCTCCAAAGAGCTGCTCTTGTTCTCTTGACCAGAATGCTGAGAATTCTTCCACCGAGTCTTTGAGTGGCTTTACCCAAGTTATTTTACTTGCTTTTCCTACTACCTCTCCTGTAGAATGGGCCTACCTCACAGGGTTGTTGTGAGGACTAAATGAAGTAAAATGTTTTGTAAACCATAACATCATCCAAGTTGGGTATTATTCGTGTAAGCTTGTATCAAAATAACGAGTCGAGCAGCGGTTTTAAAGGTCATCAGCCGCTTTTCACCATATTGACAGTTGGGGTTCCTGTAATACATCGTTTTCAAATTACAGTTTAGTGTTATGGTACCATGGATTACTTTATAGCTACCCATATGCGAACCAAAGTTAAAAAAAAGAAAAGAAAAAAAACCTAAGCACAATGTTTACAACCAAAAATAAAATAATGCTAAATAAAAAATAAGTTGGTGATTGATCCAATTAACTTCAGATGCTTTGTTTTTCAAAGTGAAAATTGCTTTATTTCTGAATATAAGAGTAGTTACTCTTTGTAACATTATATGTTCTTTGAAAGGAAATTCAGATGACCCAAAAATTATAAAGAAAATCCTACCTCTCAGATTATGTCTGATTAACATTTTGGTGGATAGCTCATCAGTAATTCAGCAAGCCACCATAATTAAAAACAAGGATATCTGAAAATTTTGGAATGGTATCTATGGGTTTGAAAAAAGAGCCGTCCAACAAACCAATGACTAAGATACAAAAGTTGTCCAGTTACAGAAACAAAGCCAGATGGTTCCTAAGACCTATTTCAGATATTTTTAATGCAATAAAATTTGACCATAAAAATAAATAAGTCATTCTGCAGTAAGACTTTATCTATCCTGCAGCCTTACTTTTCGTAACGTTATCAGAGAAACTGGAAATAAAAAGACCCTGAGACAATCAAAATAAGTCACACAACCACCTGTACTTAGAAAATAGTTCCAGCGTCGATATAACCAATTTAATCTTTGCTTAAGATGTTTGTATGCAAGGTTATCAAATTTGTGAACCCATATTTTTGAAAAGGCAGGGGGAGGGCTACAAAGGGCAGGAGTAATGTTTGCTAAAAACCTGATTGTGAGGTAGGACACTATAACAAGAAGAAGCAAAAAAAAAAAAAATTTTAATGACAGTAAACCAAACCATTTACTTCTCAGTCAATTCTAACTCATGACAACCCATATTTGCAGAGAATAACTATGTTCCCATAGGCTTTTTAAGTTGTGGCTTTTCTTTTGAGGTACCTTTGCTATTTTTGTTGGGTGCCATTGAGTCGGTTCCCACTCGTAGCGACTCTATGCACAAAAGTATGAAACACTGCATGGTCTTGGACAGTCCTCACAATTGTTGTTTTGTTTGAACCCATTGCTGCTGCCACTGTGTCAGTCCATCTTGTTGGGGTCTTCCTCTTTTTCACTGACCATCCATATTACTAAGCATGATGTCCTTCTCCTGGTACTGGTCCCTCCTGAATATGTCTGAAGTATGAGAGACAAATCTCTCCATCTTGGCTTCTAAGGAGTGCTCTGACTTTACTACTTACAACACAGATTTGTTTATTCTGGCAGTAGATAGTATTTTTAATATTCTTCTCCAACACCATAACTCAAATGCATCAATTCTTCTATGGTCTTTCTTATTCATTGTCCAACTTTCACATGCATATGTTGTTAAGTACCGTCAAGTCGTTTCAACTCATAGCCACCCTGTGTTAGGTTTCCAAGGAGCCGCTGGTAGGTTCAAACTGACCTTGCAGTCCAATACATTATCCTGCAATGCTACCAGGACTCTACCTGCATATGAGCTTAGTCCTCAAAACTGATCTTTGCTCTTGAATAAAGAGGTTATATGCAGCAGATTTGCCTAATGCAGTAAGTCACTTGATTTCATGACTGCTGCTTCTATGAGCCTTGATTGTAGATCCAAACAAAATGAAGTTTTTGACCACTTAAATCTTTTCTCCATTTATCATGTTATCATATTATTTATTGGTACAATTGTGAGGATTTTTGTTTTTTTTACATTGAGGTGCAATACATAAGAATACAATCCTCATCAAAAAGTGCCGTAAGGCCCTTTCACTTTCAGCAAGCAAGGTTGTATCATCTGTTATCACAGTTTGTTAATGAGTCTTCCTCCAATCCTGATAGTACATTCTTAATATAACCCAGTCATATTATTTGCTTAAGGAGCTCTGGTAGTGTAGTGGTTACGAATTGGGCTGCGAACTGCAAGGTTAGCAGTTCAAAACTACCAGCTGTTCCGCGGGAGAAAGATGAGGCGTTCTGCTCCTGTAAAGATTTACAGCCTTGGAAACCCTGTACAGGGTCGCTATGAGTCGGAACCGACTCCACAGCACATAACAACAACATATTATTTGCTCAGCATACAGATTTAATAAATACGGTAGAAGAATTCAACCTTGGCACACACCTTTCCTGATTTTAAACCATTCAGTATCTGCTTGTTCTGTTCTAACAACTGCCTCTTGGTCTATGTACAGATTCCTCAATAGCACAATTAATTGTTCCAGGTTACTCATTCTTCAGAATGCTGTCCTTAGCTAGTTATGATCCAGATAGTCAAAAGGCTTTGCATAATTAATAAAGCACAGGTAAACATCTTTCTGGTATTCTCTGCTTTCAGCCAAAATCCAGCTGACATCAACAGTGATACCCCTCATTCCATGTCCTCTTCTGAATACTTCTTGAGCTTTTGGCAATTCTCTGTTGATGTACAGTTACAGCCGTTTTTTAATTACCTTCAGGAAAATTTTACTTGCATGTGATATTAATGATACTGTTCAGTGATTTCCACATTTCTTTGGGTCATCTCTCTTTGGAATGGGTAGAAATATGGATTGGTTTCAATCAGTTGGCCAGATAACTATCTTCCAAATTTCCTCCAGTTCTGGATCAGATTGTTGCAAGATTTCAATTTGTATTCTGTCAGTTTCTGGAGCCTTGTTTTTCACCAATGCCTTCAGTGTAGCTTGGACTTCTTCTTTCAGTACCATTGGTTATTACATGCTACACCTTGAAATGTTTGAACATCGACTATTTCTTTCTGTATGGTGTCTGTGTATGATGTGCTGTCGCGCCGGTTCCGACCTATAGTAACCCTGTATAGGGTTTCCGAGGAGCAGCTGGTGAGCTTGAACTGCCAACCTTGCAGTTCAAACAGCATTTCAGTCTGGCGCATTAACCCACAGCGCCACACCAAGACTCCCTCTTTCTGTACAGTGACTGTAGTCCCTCCATCATCTTTAGATGCGTTCTGCATCATGCAATATTTTGCCCGTGGAGTCCTTCAGTATCGTAAGTCAAGGCTTGAATTTTTTTCTTTAATTCTTTCAGCTTGATAAATACTGAGCATGTTACTCCCTTTTGGTTTTCTAGGTCCAGGTCATAGAACATTTTATTATAATACTTGATTGCCTTTTTGAGCTGCTCTTTGAAATTTTCTGTTCAGCTCTTTTACTTCAGAATCTCTTGTGACATCCATTTTGGTCTTTTCTTTCTTGCCTGTCTTTTTGATTACCTTTTACTTGCTTCCTGCATGATGTTCTTGATGTCATTCCACAACGCTCTGGTCTTTGGTCATGAGTGTCTAATGCATCAAATCTGTACTTGAGATGGTCTCTAAATTCAAGTGGGATATGTTGTTCAAGGTAATATTTCGGCTCTCAAGGACTTGTTTTAATTTTCTGCAACTTCACCCTGAACTTGAATATGAGCAATTAATGGTCTGTTTCACAGTCTGCCCTGTTTTGGCTCATGATTTTAAATATTTCAACCATCTCTGCCTACAGATGTAGTCAGTTTGATTTCTGTGTAGTCCATCTGGAGAGGTCCAGATGGTGTATAATAGTCACCTTTTATGTTGTGTAAAAACGGTATTTGCAATGAATAAGTCATTGGCCTTGCAAATTTTCATCGTGTGATGTTCAGCATCATTTTTGGCCTATCACCAAGGTCATATTTTTCAATTACTGATCCTTCTTGTTCCCAACCTTCGCATTGCAATCACTAGTAATTATCTTGCATCTTGATTGCATGTTTGATCAATTTCAGACTGAAGAAGTTGTTGATGGTGGTGGTGGTGTGCCCTTGAGTCGGTTCCAACTCTTAACTACCCTGGATAGGGTTTCTGAAAGTATAGATCTTTATGGGAGCAAAGGCCTCCTCTTTCTTCATGGAGCAGCTGGTGAAACTGCTGACCTTGAGGTTAGCAGCCCAACGTATAATCCACTATACTACCAGGGCTCCTTGAAGAAGTTAGAATTCTTCAATTTCACCATTATTGGCTTTAGTGGTCGGTGTATACATTTGCATAACACTGTTATTAACTGGTCTTACTTGTATACGTGTAGCTATTAACTTATCACAGACAGCATTGTACTTCAAGATAGATCTTAAAATGTTTTTGACAATTAATACAGTGCTATTCCTCTTGAACTTGTCATTCTTTTATAGTTAACCATAAGATGTTCAGATTCAAAATGTCCATTACCAGTCCGTATCAGTTCACTAATGCCTAATGTATCTATGTGTTCCATTTCATTTTTGACAACCTCCAATTTTCCTAGATTCATACTTAGTACATTCCATGTTCTGTTTATTAATGAATGTATGCAGCTATTTTTATTTCGATTTGTACCCCTTCAGCAAATGAAGGTCCCAAAAGTTTTACTCCATTCACATCATTATGGTCAACTCTACTTTGAGGAAGCAGCTTTTTCCCAGTCATACTCGAGTGCCTTGCAACCTTAGGGGCTCATCTTCTGCAC